ATTGCGTCCTATTAAAATCTTGGCAGGTGTTTCCCCCGTTGTGGTATGACAAGTATTACGATATAATAATAAAAATCTATTTATTATTAAATTAACGTCCATACCTGGATTATCATGCCGAGATTTTAATATAGCGTTTTTCATAGTTTTAACAGCATTTTCCGCTAAACCGTTTGTCGCTGGATGATATGGTGCCCCAGTTAAATGTTTAACGCCACTTCCACAAAGAAAATTCTGGAATTACTCTGACATAAATGTGGTAGCATTATCAGTACATAATTGTATTGGAAGTCCATATCTAGCAAAAAGTTCCCTGAAAATTTTTATTGTAGTGGTGGCAGTTATGTTATTAACCTCAAAGCACTCAATCCATTTTGATGTTGCATCAATTACAACTAAAAATTTTTTGTTGAAGACTGGCCCAAAAAAATCTGCATGTAAGCGTGTCCATGGTTGTTTTGGCCACTCCCACACTTCTAACGAAGTTTTTGGTGCATTATTTGCAAAAATCGCACAACAATTACATTTCTTAGATAAAAGTTCTATTTGAAAATCTATTAAAGGCCACCAAACATAGGATCTTGCGAGCGATTTCATTTTAACTATTCCCATATGTGTAGAATGAAGTTCATTTAACACCAAATCTTGCAATTTGGGTGGAATAATTAATCTGAAACCCCACAATACACATCCTTGTTCAATGTTTAGTTCATTTCTTCTATTGAAATAAGGTTTAAATCCCTCAGATGGACAAACATTTGGCCATCCAAAGCGTAAATAAAAAAGTACCTTAGACAAGACCGGATCTTTATTTGTTTCGTTTTTTACTTGAGAAAACTCAATAGGTATTTGACCTTCTTTCAACAAATTCAAATAAGATACTTCGGAATTTATTTTAAAAAATAATATTTTGTCGTCCTCGTACTGAACCGAATTCATTAAAGGACTTCTAGATAAAAAATCTGCTGTATTTTTAGCAGAACTAACATATTTTATGTCGAAAGTAAATGCGGACAAAATATGAGCCCAGCGTTGCAAACGATTTGCTGCAAAAACCGGTATTCCTTTTTTATCACCAAAAATGGTCAACAAGGGTTTATGATCGGTTATCAATAAAAATTTTTGATTATAAATATACTGGAAAAACTTCTTTACTCCAAAAATAATAGCTAACGCCTCTTTTTCAATTTGTGAATAAGAAACTTCAGCCTTATTCAGAAGACGTGACGCAAAAGCTATTGGTTTTTCTATATTATTGTCAAAAACATGACTTAAAGTGGCCCCCAAAGCGAACTGAGATGCGTCCACTGTTAATTTAATTTTTTTAGAGGGGTCAAAATGTGTCAAAACCTTTGATGACAATAACATATTTTTAGAAGTTTCGAAACTTTTCGAGCATTCTAATGACCAATGCCACTTTGCATCTTTTTTCAAAAGACTATATAAGGGTTTTAGTATATCCGAAGCATTTTGAATGAATTTACAATAATAATTTATCATTCCCAAAAACGACTTAAGTTCAGTGACGTTTTTAGGGACGTGACATTTTTTAATTGCTAACACTCTCTCTTCTGAGGTATGTAACCCTGCTTTGTCAATTCTGTGACCAAGATAATTTACAGAGTCTTGAAATAGCGAACATTTTTCTTTCCTAACTTTCAAACCACATTCTTGAAGTCGACGGAAAACATACTCTAGGCGCTCCAAGTGTGAAAAATCGTTTTCCCCAGTGACCAAAATATCGTCCAAAAAACAAACGACTCCCGGACATATAAATATTTGTTCCATTATATTTTGAAATTAGGCCGGAGCGCTCGTTATTCCAAACGGTAATCTGGTGTAAGAAAAAAGACCCTTATGTGTGGAAATTGTCACAAGTTTCCTAGATTCTTCTGTAAGCACAATCTGCTGATAAGCTTCAGACAAATCTATCTTGGAAAACTTTTGACCACCCTGTAATTGTGCGAATAAATATTCGACGCGAGGTAAAGGAAAATGAACATTTTCTAAAAAAGGGTTTAATGTTATTTTAAAATCTCCGCATTAGCGTATATCCCCATTATTTTTTAAAACTGGTACAATAGGAGTTGCCCATTCTGAAAATTCAGTTTTTACTAATACACCATTTTGCACAAGACGGTCAAGTTCCTTTTCTATTTTAGGCTTTAAAGCAAAAGGAATTGGCCTTGCTTTGCAAAATTTTGGAATTGCTCCATTTTTTACATTTATGGTAACTTTAAATTTATTAAATGTGCCAATCTTTGAATCAAAAATTTCTTGGTAATTTTTTAATAAGCTAGAAATACTTGTAGAAGAATCCGTGCAACCTTGTACTATGCTAGATACTGTATACATGGAATTTTTTTCTAAAAGCTTAGAATTATCCGTATTTAATTTACAAAAACCAAAATTAAGCATAGATAACGCATTTCTGCCGATCAGTGGAGGGCCTCCATTTTTTATTACATAAGTTTTTAGAATATATTTTTTTTTCTCAAATTTAATATTTAATTTCAAATAACCAATTGGTTTGAAGGTGAGGCCGATATAATCAGTTAAAGACAAATCGTTAGTAAATACCTCTTTGCCACTAAAATGTTTAAAATATAATTTTTCTGAGATTGCTGAATGAGCGAAACCAGAATCAATTTCAAAATTTATTGGTATATTTTCAACAATTAAGTTAATAAAAAATAGCTTGATATTACCTGAACTTTCTATCCTATTTACATCCAAGTCCCGAATATTAAATATAGATTCTTCAGAGTCTTGATTGTCTTGTAAAAAATTATGTCGACTGCTACGTTTACATTGGGGTGCTAAATGACCTTTCATGCCACAGTTATGGCAATTACAATTTTTATAAACGCAATCTTTTATAGAATGATTTTGACACACACTGTGCACTTAATCCGGGCTGTATCACTTCCTCCTGCACCTGAAAAATTTCCTTTTTTAAAACCTATCCCATTTCCATTTTGGGATCATGGGAAGTTTTGACGTCTGGGTTTCTGGAAGTATACTGGCTCTTGTTTTATACCAACACCTAGGTTTCCTCTAACATCATGATCCTTTAAAGCTGACTCTTTACTAAGGGCAATTTTTACCACTTTTTCGAAGGTAGTTTTTGAGGCATCTTCCTCAAAAAGACGATCCATAATTTTGTCATCGTTAATTCCTGTGACAAAAATATCGCGCATTACCACAGAAAGCTCTGTACCAAAACCACAATTGGCGGCTAAACTCTTTACTTTTGCTTGCCAATCAGCAATCGATTCACCCTGCTGACGTTTACAATTGTAAAACCTTAGCCTTTCAGCAAAGTATGACTTGACATGCGAAAAATGATCAGTAAGTATCTTCATGAGCTGCTCAACACTATTTGACTCAGGCGGATCAGGAACACACAAGTTCCTCACCAAAACGTAACAATCTTCAGAAAGAGTATTCAGTAAAATTGCTCGTTTCCTGTCACTATCCGTGATATTGTTAGCAATAAAAAATTGCTTAAGTCTTTCGGCAAACACCGAAAAATTTGATATTTTGGGGTCAAACGTATTCAAAGACCCCAAAAGTCCGACGTATTCGGTCTTAATGGTGACAGCACTGGCTTCTAATGGCGGTGCCATTTTGTTATAAAATCACACTAATGCACACTAAGAGGTACTGATCAACCCGATAGTACTATTTTCGTGAAAATTTCCGAAAGTAAACTAAGACAGGTTTCTTATTTTTAAATCCTCGTCGCCACTGTAATATACTATCAATGAAACACACTAATTTGAGTGATGGTCTATTTATTACTAAAATATTCAATTCTCCGTACCCAAAGGAATGGTACTGTAGTCACAAAAAACCCATTGTTAATCTAACAATACACTAATAGAGAGCTAGCGCATACACGACTATTTAGAGTTATTAGAGACGTTATGCATATATATCACAAGAATATTCTGGAACACTCCATTGAGTCCCTACTAAAATACGGGGTACCTACCCCAATCAAAATCTCCAGAAAAATAATGAAAACCTTACTTGTATCGAGGTTTTTGGAATTTTCAACTCTCAATCCCTTAGTAGTTACGAATTAAATTTGAGGGATTATTCTGCTAGAGCACTTCATCAATTTTGCCAAATGATGGTACGGTATGTCATCGAAAATATCGAGAAAAAGGTAAAAAAACCTCACTTTACTTCTAATGAGTTTTCTGATATTTTCAATATTTGATTTCTAACCGATTACGGAACTAATTTAAGGAAATATTTTAGAATACTATTCATTAAGTCCCTGCTAGAATATGATAGAGGAACCACAATCAAAATTTCGAGAAAAGCATAAAAACTTGGTCCTTCCATTGAGTTTCTCGATATTCTCAACCCTTATTGATCCCCTACCGATCTCAAAACCAATTTGAGGTATTATTTTGGAATAAGTACCTTGTTAAGCTTCTGTTGAAAGATGAAAATGGTAGGTATACCTACGGGAAAATCACTACCTATTTATATTATCGAAGAAAAGAAAAATAACATTGTAAACACTATAGGTAGTTTAATAAATAATTTTGTAATCAGAGAAGAGGAAACAAACCAATCATAAGCAAAAAACAATAATTCTAAAACAGATGCATTGATCAATTACCAGAAAGTAAAAGTTTTCTCGAAGTAGGTAATATTGAAACAAAATAAAAAACACATCAGTTGCAGGAACAAAAATAGACTCTAAAATAAAGGTTCTTGCAAAAAATAATCTTTTCAAGGAATAAAACAAAAAGACACAATTTTGTCAATTTTACAAAGTTAAGTACTTTTTTATTTCAACAGCACAAGCAACTGACATTCTCAAAGCACCTGATGAAGTTTTAGGAAAACTTTAGACAAAATTAAACTCCATTGACTACCCCCGAAAAAAGGAACTACCTACGTGAATACAAGACAAAACTGCACATTAAGAATCAAAGTGTTAGAAAATAAATAAACATTTATTAAAATTCAAAACTTACCTACCTTCCAGCAAAAATTAATCACGATCAATTATTTCAAACAAAAAGTTCATTTTTGCCCGATTTGCTTATATAGATTCAGTGTAAGTAATCTGAACTTTGACTTTCCATTTTTTTTCTTGAAATTAGTATTATATGTCAGCTGTGGGTAACTCATTTTATATTTTGTAGATAAAATCAAAAAATATCCAATTTCCTTTGGTCATCGACATAGAACATGAAGGCCACATTGCGGGTGAAAAATATTTTTTTTTTTTTTTGCAATAAAGAATACTTAAGTAGGACGTTTTTGAATAAAATAAAATAAAAATCTGACCAGGAAAACTAATAAATTGTATATTGACTTGGCTTATTAACACATTTTTGTCAAAATCTACAACAGTTTTCAAGTAGTGCAGTTATCTAGAATAATTGCTAAAATCAACATATCATTTTAACGGGAAGATACTTTCAGAATGTTGTAAGTTGACTTCATTATGTATCCAAAAAGATTTGGTTTTTTCTTAGGGGTATTTGTGTTTTTATTGGAAATTGAAAAAAATCTCTGTGTAGTAAGTGATTTTGACGAGTACATTGATGAAGATTTTAACGCAAGAGACTCAAAACAATGTAAGTTTGGTGTTGAATTAAATGTACGTACCTATTTAGATAATATCAAAGAGGTAATTTTTTTACATTCTTCCATACCTATTGGAAATTCAATTTCAAAAATTGTTTGGTAAATGGAAATTAAAAATTTACAAAACTGGCTTAAATCTTTGACGTCAATTTCTTCAGTATAGGTAATCCGATCAGTTAAGTACCTACATAGATTTTTGAGGTCCGTGTCCGGTGATAACCAGAAATACGTCATTTAGTTTCGAAATAGTCAGTTTCAGTCGTCTTGCTACTAGATAATGATAAAATTCCAAACATTTGATCGTCATCAGAGTGTCCCCAATTTCTTAGATAATAATTCGTGTCCTCAAAAATTATTATTGAATCATGATTCTTGTTATTATAAATCCCAATTAGGTTGTCAGTGTCAATTCTCTTAGTTATCGCCATTCTATGCAACTGAATATAAACCATTTCGCTGAATAATCGTTTGTTATAGTGAGCCTCTCTATCCAGAATTTCGACATTATCAAAATCAAAGCCATGGTCGTTCTCAAAATGGTGATTTGCCAACGCAGTTTGCTTCTTCTTCGCCCTATGCCTTTCTGAACATTAATTCCTGTGTTCGTAAATTCTATTTTTCAATCTTTGTTTGGTTTTTCCTTATATGCACTCCATCGCATACCAAACAGTTAATTTTATATATTGTATTTATTTATATGTAATTTACAATAATTTGGGTTCCTGCAATAGAGGTACCGGGTACCGACAATTGGCAACATCTTGTTGGGATATTGATGTTTACAGGACATTGGTTGTAAAAATAATTCTAGCCGGCACATCTTTAAAACCTAAACAATCAATGAGTTATAAAGTATCTAATTGATGAGGGACTAAACCAAACAGATGGTGGAATTTGTTAAGAGAGAGGAAATGTGATATGAATATAATTGTTATTAATAATAAAATGATTCACAAAAGTAGGTTCTCGAGAATTTCTATTTAAGACACACTCCGCATTTTCATTTCAGATTGGCCAAAACCTGGTTTGGTACGCTTCGCCCAAAGCGTTTGTACCACCCAAGAAGGATACTTGGGCACATGCCTCACCAGAAGACAATGTACCTATATAGATGGATCCCAGTCTGGAAGTTGTACTTCAAACGGAGTTGGACGATGCTGCTTAGGTAAGGAATATATATTTTTTTTCCTAGCATCAGTTGATTGTTTTAGTCCAAAGAACTTGTGGAGAAAGTTCCGCGTACAACAACACCTACTTTTCAAGCGCCAACTACCCAGTCACCTTCAACGGAGACACTACTTGCAGTTTTACCATAGAGCCTTGTCCAAATACCTGTCAAGCCCGAATCGATTTTTTAAATTTCGTACTAGCGCAACCTGACGGCAATGGTAATTGTGTGGACGATAGCATGGTGGTAACTGGATCTGGTGGTAATGTTCCGATTATTTGTGGAGACAATTCTGGTCAACATATTTACGTTACTTTTATGAACAATAATAGTATAACTATTACTGTAACTACCTCCGCTTCAGTGGATTTGGAACGTAGCTATAACTTCTTGGTTACGCAGATTGCTTGCGATTGTCCTACATTGGGTAAGAACTTTAATTGATTTACTACAAAGCCCCGAAATCGGTATATTACATCATCCCACTAAAATTAAATCCACAGAACTGAGATAAAATCAGGAACCACGTTCAATTTTATCTTTATAAGCCACAACATTATGAAATTATTTTATAGCCCCAGCTGGTTGTCTACAATACTATACTGCCCTCACTGGCACAGTAAGAAGCTTCAACTACGGGACGCAAATCAACGGAGCTGTTGTTACCTACGATAATGCCACTACAGTAGCAGGTACACGACAACTAGCAAACACAAACTATGGAATATGCGTCTATATGCAGCCCGGATACTGTTCAATTCAATGGGCTCAAAGTGCTGACAGTACTTCGTTTACAGTGACAAATAACACGGCACTAGTTGAAGTGGTATCTGGATTACCGGCAGATCCAGCAACTGGATTCTCGTGTACCACCGATTACGTTGTCATACCTAATCCGGTTTATGTAAATGGGACTGCTGTTAATACTGATAGGTTTTGTGGCAATCAGTTCAATACTGTAGTTAGTAAGTTTCAGGATTTCATTATTAATAACTATTATTTCAATTTGAATTTTTCTAGCTTCTTCGAAACCCTTTGTTTTAACTACAGTCACTGATGCTAGTGAGCTTACCTCAGGAGATGTTGCCAACAGAGGGTTTTCACTAACTTATACTCAATTGGCTTGTAGAAATGTTAATTCTTTGTTAATGTTAACTGGATAAGGCTTTAATAAACAAATTACCTACTCATATCTATAATTTTGGTTCAATTAATTGAAACTGACCCAAAACAATTTGTTTCAGCAATTCAATTCAGCTATCAGAATATTATTTCAATTTCAGGTTATGGCTGGCTGAGTTAAAACACTTCACATAACCATATTGGACAGATAGGTAATTGTGATTTTTTTCAAAGAGATAAAAAAAACTGATAACTTTCCAAAAGTTATTCTTTAAAATTTTAGGAGGAAAATAGTTACTTCTGAGTTTTGACTACAATACAGTACCTATATCTCAAAATTCGATACCTTCTTCAAATTGAATTTCAGCTTTTTAAATACTTAGGTACCTACCCCTTTTTTGGTATCAAAATGAAACCCTTTTTTCGTGGTTGTTTTGAAGCTATGTTATTTTTTTTATGGGAATTATTTAATTTTAACTTGGTGTAAAGTGTGAACACCCTAGAGAAAATTCACGTCAAATCTTTGGTAAGCCGTTGTTTTATATGTGCACTTTTGTCTCGCTATTGTTGTATATAGTTCTTTAATTGCCTCAAATAGTTGGGTTTGTGTTTGTTCTCCAAAGTATATTTAGAGATACAATGTCGTAGTCTCTTTGTAGATCTACACAAAGCAGAAGCAACCCGGCATGCTTTTCTTCTGCTCCCTTCTGTTTGATTGATTCTGACTGTATAATCTGCATGTACTGTACTGTACTTTTGTTAGACTACATAGATTTGTAGATTAATGACTTTAGTCTGTCGGTCAACGAATGTTGAGTAATGCCGATGGAATATTTTGCAAACCAAGTGTTGTTAGAATTCTTTTACCTCGAAAGTGTTATTCACTCTTTAAAAGGTTATGGGCCCAGTTCCCAGTTAGTTCCAGTAATCACTGTGTTGAGTATGGAAAAGATAAGTGTCAAATAAGTTATATAAGGTTGTTGAAAAGTTTCAGCTGTTTGAACGATAATTTTAGTTGTGCAAAATGGCGGCGTTTAATAGTTTAGCAGTTCCTATTCTAGAAGCATCTAATTTTAATAACTGACATTTCCGTTTAGTTACCTACTCTGCTAAAAAGGGAACAATGCTCTGATGCGCTAGATGATCCACCACTAGCAGGAGCAACAACTGAGGAGAAAAATAATTTTCCTCGGCTAGATGCTTAGGCACAGTCGGTGATTATGCAAGGTGTTTCAGATAAACATCTGGACATCATCAAAGATTGCGAAACTGCAAAGGAACAGCTTTCTGCTTTGAAGGATGTTTTAGTGAGTACTAATGCATCCACGAAGTTATCACTTCGGAGAAAGCTACTTGGACTGAAGTTAGGTGTGAATGAAAAGTTGGAAGACCATTTCTCAGTTCGACACAATAATAAGGGAGCTCAAAGATTTATAATCAAACATAGATGAAGGTGCTACAGTTTGTCACTTATTGCTATCATTACACATTCAAATTCTACACAGTTGTTACTGCTTCAGGAACCATAAGTGACGTAGAAATTGATTTTGTGAAGGCCAGATTTTTAGATGTAGAGATAAAGTTAAATTCAATGGTTGAAAATGGGGATCAGGAGAGAGAGGTTAGTTTTAAGGCTACAACTAGCAAAGGTTGTTTCATATGTGGCGATAAAAATCACTTTATTTACGCTTGACATATAATGTGAGTATTATACTTGTGATTTTGGCAGGTTAATGCCATATATTATTCCCGCAGCGATTAATGGTCATTATTCCCGTTTGTAGACCAATCAAAAAACTTCTCAAATTAAATAAGTAATACCATGGAACCAATATAAACAAACTCAAATCAAAAGTGACAGTGTCAAACGCGTAGTGCTTGTGTATTTGTATTGAGATGGATGAACAACGAGCGGTTTTGAAACTATTTCAAATAAATTAATTTGGCGTAAATAAACTAGAGTAAACTACTCGCAATAATGGCTATTATTCCCTTGGAATGTTACTCCCTCGTCGCTGACGCGGCTCAGTTGGTAAATATTCCTCGGGAATAATAGCTATCATTATTGACTCGTGGTATAATCTACTATTATATCACAGTGTCCAAAACGAAATATGTGGTCTAATAAAATGAGAGGCAACTACAGAGTCAGGTTTAGAGGAAGAGAACAGAATTCAAGAAGATATAGAGGTGGAAGTGGAAAAAAAATCAAGTGAATATTATAATAAGCAAGAAGCTAATACTGTAGAAGATTAACTTGGTTTGTATGCAGCAAATGTATGTAGTACTGTACCTGAAGGTACAGTAACTTTTAGATTGGATTCACGGGCAAGTAATAATTTTGTTCAAAGGAATAGACCTATCTATTTTACCAGACAAAGAGGTAATAATACGAAAACTTCATTAGATAAAAAAAGACACAGAACGCCCATTGCGCAAGACGAGGCAAAACGTACCAAATTATGTTAGACTTACTTATAGCAATCCGTCCTCCTTATTTGCACGGGATAAAAAGGAAAGGAGAAAGACCGCGTGTTGTGTAACTTTATTTGTCAAAGAAAATTTCAAAGAAATTTTGAATGTCACTTGTCAAGCTATGTCAAGTTGAATATCAACCGTACTTTTATTCTTGTCAGACCACGGGCAATGAACAAGGACAAGTAGATGCCCAGGCTGCAAAACGAACACCTCACACCTGTAATGGTTAACCAATGAAAAGGCATTGCCTCGTGTTGCGCGCGCATACCAGGTAAAAATAGATAGGTCTATTGCAACAGTAGGTATATGCATGATGTAAAAACCACACCACTACATAGCCAACGTTCAACGGAGGAGTTTTGAAGACAGACAAGGTATAGGAACGTGTCAAGGGCAAACTGTTTATATTGAGGCTCAGCCCCCGGATTCTGTTTTACGAGTCGAGTCGGATTATCTCGATATCGAATACGACAGCTCCGGACGTACCGTGTAATACGTATTGGAATATCGTAAAATAGAATCGCTATTTTGACAATTCGATACGAATTACGACTCGACTCGTAAAATAGAATCCGGCGGCAGATTGTACCAAAAACAAAGTATAACTTAGAGTCATCATCAAAAATGACGTCTACAGGACACCAGATATTTGAGCATGCAAGTAAGGATACTCTGTCACAGCTAGGTTTGAAAACTTCGTATAGATCTGTTCAACTTGTGTTGAAAGGAAAGTTACACGTTCTCCATTTATAACCAATGAGAGACGTACAACGGCCATAGGTGAATTAATTCATAGTGATCTATGTGGACCTGTGACACCACACACAACAACCGAGAGAGATATTTTCAAGTGATTCTTGACGAGTATTCGCATTTTGTTATTGTGAAGTTTCTTATGGCCGTTTCCACCAACTATTTTAGGGAAGCCTTAACGATAAGTATTCCCTAATCTGACAGTTTTCCATGGAGAAATGTCAGTTTAGGGAATACTTATCGTTAAGGCTTCCCTAAAATAGTTGGTGGAAACGGCCATTAACTACTTAAGAATAAATATAAAGCAGAAAAAAATTTGAGAGATTGTACTCGAGTTAGAGACACAGCACAATGTAAGAGTGAAACCGTTGGGAGTTTTAAAGATTTTTGCAGATAAAAGCGAATCAAACTAGAATATACAATGGCCTACAGTCCTCAGATGAACGGTATATCTGAAAGGATCGACAGAACTTTATTGTTGAATATGACATGAACAAAATTAATTGATTCTGGCATTCCAAAATCATATTATGGGGAAAAGCTATGAAGTATTCTGCATATGAACTCAACAGAACCTCTACATCAGTTTTACCAAGAGAAACGAGACCATCACAGCTGTCGCACGGGGGGAATGATTCGACCAAATTAAGACTTTTTGGTTGTCGAGTTTGGTATACAGGGTGAATCTGAAAGTGAGGCTTTTTTTTTAACGGGACCTATATCTCACCAAAATGAGTTGTTTGGCAAAAAATTGTTTATTTAAAAAATTTAAGATAATGGAGTTACAGGTATTTCAAGGTCTTAAGAAGACTCCAGGGTCCTTAGTTCGAAACATGGGAGCAGCGTTCTTATGAGAACGAAGGTCCTATCTTCGTCGCACTAGTCGCCCATACTCATATTTGCATAACACTGACAAAGTCCAGATCAATCGTTCTCATCATGAGAACGCTGTTCCCCAGCTTCGAGAATAGGCATCCAGTTTACATTTTCTCGGAAAAAAGCCGTTATTTGTCCAGCATAATGAGTTTTAGTCCATAGTACAGTTGCATTATTTTATCAGAAAAATCAAACAAAGACTCCTTTTTCTATTTTCAACCTATTAATTTTAATATCTTTAAATACCTGTACCTCCGTTATCTTAAATTTTTTATGTAAATAATTTTTTGCCAAACAACTTATTATGGCGAGATATATACCCTGTTAAAAAAAGCCTCACTCTCAGATTCATCCTGTATAGCGTTACCAAAAAGAAACAAGAAAAATCCAAAAGCAGTGATGATGGGATATTGTGGAGGAGGCTACAAATTATTGTCACATACAGAAGATAGAATCAAGAGATAGGTTTGATGAGACTATTATGGAAAAGAAGAACAGAAACAGGAAAATAATTACATACCAGATGACAATAAAAATTCGAATGATACAGAAAATACTCAAGATAACAGACAAATTGCAAAAGATGGAGATATAGAATATGAAAATTTAGATGAAAGCAGCTCAAGTTATCCTGAATATATTCCAGCCAGCGAGAGATTGTACAGTATCTAACTAGATCTAGAAGTAATGCAAGAAAATCTAAAAACCTGGATGATTATGAGCTGTATGTGGCATATTGTTTACTCTCAGAGAGTCAGGAAGAGCAAAAGACATATCAAAAAAGCCAGTGAATCTAAAGAATAGCTAAAAGCAATAAACAATGAGTTGAACTCTCATAAAAAAGTTACATGCATGTACTCCAACCGAATTACCTGAAGGACAAAAAGCAATTGACATAAGATGGATTTTTAAGGTGAAAGAGAAGAAGAGACTTGAAGCTAGGGATTTTCCGGTACCGCATGGGGGCGAAGAGTTTTTAGTTATGCACCAATGTGCACACTTCCTACGATTTGGTGTCAATGCAAAAAGACTGGATACTGAGTCAGATAGATGTGCCAACCGCGTTCTTAAATGGCATATTGGACAGTGAAGTGTAGGTATATCAAGAGGCCAGAGGGACTCAAAGTATTTAAAAGTTAACCGGGCATTGTATGGACTGCATAACGCACCGACGTGTTGGAACATGAAGTTCAGTGAAGTAATGCTGACACTAAATTATAAAAGATCACAAAATAACAAGGACGATGTTCATTTTGGTATTGTTTGTGTACGATGCATTGATAGGGACCAAAAGAAAAAGTGAACAAATTAGTGGAGAGTTTGTATAATGAATTCAAGGTTAAAAATATTACTGAAGTGAAGACATTTCTAGGAATGGAGATAAAGAAAAATTAAAGAGGTCTCAAGATTACCCTGACAAAAATGATCACACGATTACTGAAAAAGTTTGGTATGGAAGATAGCAGATCCATAGCAACACCGATGGAATTAAATTTCCACATGGATGAAGGACAATCTGTATGTAAAAAATGGTAGAGGTTTAGAAGCTATGCGTGATGCGGATTCGGCTGGTGATAGGCACACGAGGAAGAGCGTAAGTGGTTTTATATGTTTTCATGCCGGGAATCAAATAGCTTGGCACTCATAAAAGCAGAGTTGTGTAGCCCTTTCTTCAATGGAGGCTGAGTATGTAGCAGCTGGTTGCGCAACTCAGGAGGTGATTAATGTGAGAGGTATTTTAGCAGACTTTGGTGAGTGCAAAACCGACAAAACTCTAGAAATAGATAATCAAAGTGCTATTTCTATGATTAAAAACTCTGAGAACTCAAAGCGAGGTAAACACCTACTAGAAATACCTACAATTTCGTAGAATTCTTTTGTTCATATTTTTGTAGATTAATGAATTTGTCTGTCTGTCAACGTGTTGTTGAATGTTGAGCAATAAAACATTTTGCAAAGTGTTGTTAGAATTATTTGGCCCCAAAAGGGTTATTCACTCTTTAAAAGATTCTACTCAGCGTACTAGTGAGAGAAACACCTCTATAATTGTCGCAGATGTGCTTTCTTTTCTTTTCTTTTTTGTGAATTGTGTATATGTAACAAGTTTTCCATTCCTCTGTGTAATTTGGTTCCGTTTAAGTATTTCTGAAACAGATTTCGTACTCAACAAAATAGTTCTTCCGTGCCATACCTACTTAATCAATTTTACCGGAATAATATCTGGTCTAGAAGCTTTCCCGTTTTTTAGATTTATCGGGAGTAGGAATCTTCTTCTTGAAACTCTGTAAGTAATTTTTTAGTGTTGATCCCATTCATGCTCTGCTAGTGGAGATAATAATACTTATCTCTAGACGTTTCTTATAATATTCCGACTCTCCGTGACTTCCTATATATGAGTTTATTTTCTGGCATTTTCCAGTTTACTTTGCTTTGACCCTATCATTCTTCTTACTTTTGCATGTGTGTTCTTGTTATGTTGTTATAGTGTTCTTCTATCCTCTATTTATCCTTCAATCGCTTCATGCTACCAGTTTAGGGCTTACTTCTATTCAACCTAGTGCTAAATTTGTGGCTTGGTAAATTCTTGTTTTAATGGTTTCATATTGTTCATCTAGGTTTTCAAATGGCTATGCTCTTGGTCTTATTATTTAGTCTTCTTGTTAGTTATCGCTAACAATGTCTTGCCCACGTCGTCTAGACTATTCAGCTCTCGAACTGTTCTATGTTCATCATGTCTTCTTAGAGCAATATCTATCTAGAAGCACTGAATGAATATTTGCATCATACTTTACTGCATACTCCAGAAATCGTATGTCTATACTTATTTATTATTGTAATATCCATTTTCATCAAAACCTTCGCCAATAATTCACAAGGAAAAATCTCATTGTAACAAACATCAATAAGGCTGTAAATGCTGAAAATTTGAACAGAAAATATTGAAAGGTAACTGAGACAAAAAATGGTTTACGGCCATTTGAACCGCTATAACTTAAGGGATATTTAATCCAAGTGGAGCTTTGAATGTGACTCTTGTAGAAACAAAAGTCACATTCAAAGCTCCACTTAGATAAATATCCCTTAAGTGATAGCCGTGCAAATGGCCATTAGAGGCTGCCAAAGTAGGCAAAAGATTGGGGTAACTTTGACAGGCTATTTATTTCGCTTAAAATAAGGAAGTAGACTGCTCTAAAAGTCTTCTTTGGCACCGTTTTTTTATTTCCTTTTGAATTTTGACCATTTTTCTCAAAAAATACCATAACTTGGTATTGTTCAAAAAAACGTTTTTGCACAAAAATGTACTGCTTTATTCAAAAATACCAACTTAACTCTAATAATTTAACTTATTACCTATAAATTTTGCATGAAATAACATGTAGACGTAGAAACAACAGCATGACTCATGTGCCAAAGTTACCTCCGGTGCCAAAGTAACCGGTAAGTACGGTAATAGCTCCTGCTAACCATAAAATCAAAAAACCAATGGATACTCCTTGTTCCTTTGCTACTCCGCTTTTGTACCTCTGGTCATACAATCCTAAATTTCCAGATTCTTTCCCCTTTTCTTCATGTTTTTGTTAGTACTATCACACCTGTCCATAAAAAAGGGAAACTAATCGCACAAAATAAACAGAATACCACGAAAGATGAACTTTTCTGTGGCTCTATTCATCCACGCAACGCAAAAGATCTTACCATATAGAGGGCTCTCAAACAGAAGATGAGCCCTTTCAGTGTTCATTAAAAGCAATAACTCATGATGCAATTGAAGCACAACATGACAACATCTAAAAATAAGCGTTTTAAAAGATATAAGTCTAAAAATTAAAACAAATCAAAAAGAAAATCAACTAAATCTAAAGCAAAAATAGAACGACAAATCGAGTAACTGAAAACATGAGCAAGTTATCACTGGTTTTTGAAGTCTATAAGATTATGTATATGACAGCTTGGACAGCTCGGCATCCAGTTTCTAACTGAAACTTTCAAATTTATCAGTATTCTTTGTTTTTTTTTTATGTATTCGGGCAGGTAATTGAACAACCTCGGTCCTATGAACGTGCTACTACCTGTCGATTTCTGCATTCTTGGTACTCTGATTAAGTTTCTTTGTCTCGTGTAAACTTGAGTTCGAGGTGTAGTACAGTCACTCTGAGTTTTATACCAAATTATTTCCAGTTGTTTAAATTAAGTTGCTATTTTTGTATTTTTGATACAACTCATGATTCTTGTTTTCGGATACTAGGAGTAGATTTGTTATCCAGGGAGTCCGCTTGAATTCTGAGTGGCGTATTTTAATTGTGTTTCTACAAAGAGAAATGCAGTTATTTATGTTTTTATAAAAAATGTTCATGCATTCATCAACATCCTCACATCTATAAAAATCCTTTCAGTTAATTGATTTGAGGTTCTTGGTAAGTTTGTCATGGTCAATGTATGTTTTTGTCCTACCTCCTGTATTCTGGCTTTTTTCAGTTAGCTGCCCTGAGAGGTTACTGATTTTTAATAGAATAGGGTAATGGTCAGTGATGCGACCCTGCAAAATAACCGGCACTAAAGTGAGATTTGTGTCCTTGAATCTAACAAAAATATGATCCAAGCAGGTCCCTGTTTCAGGTCTTGTTACATCATTTATTGTCGATCTGAACCGGTGCGCACTCAAAAGATTCAGATATTCATTCACACACTCATCCCGATCATCCAGCAAGTTCATATTTATATCCCCAACCATGACATCCACATCCGAGTTTAAGTTCAACGATTCTAAAAAATTTAGGTTGAGGTTAAATTCCTCTCTATCCAAAGATGGTGACCTGTATATTGAAAGAATTCTAAATTGTTTTTCTTTAAAAGTAATTTTAGCCAGAATAATTTTTATATTTCCCAAGAGTATGACATCACTTTGGTGACTTAGACTACTCTTTAGATAAATAGCTGTACCATCACATTGATTCAATGAACCGTAGTTGTACACCATATCATAGCCCGGGATGCTCAACAAAATTTTACGTAAAGTTCTGAGCAGATTTCATGTAATATACCCTATACCTAAGTTCAACTGTTTTGGAAATATTGATAGTTGAAAATTGACTTTTTGCAACTTTGACAGGCTGTAAAACCTAAACGGTTAATTTTAGACCAAAACCGAATTTACATTCCTATCTTAGATTTTCATAAACTATTATTCGAAAACAACTTTGAATTTAACCGGAGATTAAATTTAACTGGAGTTTTTAATCATGGTACCACTCCTACATGTAGTGGAAACAACATTTGGCCTTCCCTTAACAAATAAGGAGATTCCCATATCAACCATAATCAAGGATTTTGAATACTGCATAGGAGCACAGACAATGGCAGATGAACACAAGGAGAGCTTGAGAGGTCAGACCACGAACATAATCACTAACTGATCTGCTAATGCAAATGGCACAACAATAAGAATAAAATAATTTTCCAAAGTTACTGGCCCATAAACGCAAAACCATATCTAATTATGAAAGATCAAGATAAACCAATCAATGCGTTTTGCCAATTAGCTATATTAAAAAATATGATATCCATACAATGGGTAGGCATAGGATATTTGAAATAAAATTGCAATAATCTATTTTGTGTTACTTCCGATTGCATATTATAAAAAAAGAATTATTGGAAATATTAATAATTTATTATTTGTTATTGCTAATTGAAATAAAACACGCACATGTAGATAGTTTTTGCGAAACTCCTAAGTATAAATATGAGTCAAAATCCAATACAAATCATCAGTTGTATTCCAAAGCTTCTTTGAAAATATAACAATTTTTCAAAAAAAAGACTCTCAATATGATGTCTGTAAAGTTAGCAGTTATTTTCTTCGCTTTGGTTGCTTACGCTTACGCTGAACCTGAACCAGAGCCGGGATACCTCAGCTACCAACAACCAATCATCACCAAGCAAGTGATACCAGTTGTCACCAAACAAATTGTACCAGTCGTCCAATATAAACAAGTTTATTCCAGCTACGGTGGTGGCTATGGAGGCTACAAAGGCTATGGAAAATAATTATGGGAATTTCTTCTACCGACGATTCAATGTAAGATCAATAATTTCTTTGTACTAAATTTGATTTTGGAAGCTCCACAATTCTGCTTTTATTAAAAATTGTTTTTATTTAATAAATAAAAGTGTTTTAATTTGCTCTTGGTGTTTAATTTTTTTAAATGATTCACTCTTTGCTTGTGCCTAGTGCGGCGTGAAATTTTCGCAAAGTAAAATTAAGACTTTTAATTCATAGGTATTAAATTATAGAAATTTGTCTGATTTCGACACACAATGGTATAAATACTAAACAAAAATTTGGGATTTCATCAGTTGGTGCATTTAATTCTTATTTTGTGCTCAATTTTCACAGGTAAGTGAGCACCTAAATATTCTTATTTCCTTGTTCAAAAACTCTTTTTTAAAGCTGTCAGGCGCAGGCCATCCCAATTCATTATTTATTTATAAAGTCCAATTTAGAATAAAATCTTTTGGAGAACAACCCTAACAAAACTAAGATTCAAATGAAGAAATATCGGAGTCAGAATGTGGTTGTAATGCAAAGAAGGCTTTCCCTGCTTCATTTTGATATTTGATTAATTCATGTTTTCGAGAGAATGATCAAATTATTGTCTTGGCGCTTCTTTTACTTTAACATCAGAATTTTCTGATTAAAAACAGCCATTCAAAGAATCCTCACTTTTATTCTCTAAGTGAATTAGGATTACAAAGTGCTGTATTGAATACATATTATTGTAACCATGAGCATTTTCGGCATTTAATAGAATCCAGATTATTACTTATTTTTCATGAATAAGTTTACATCATAAAGTTGCGAGTTGTTGTCAATATAAGTTTGTTCAATTCAAGAAAAGTTTCTTAAATTGATATTAAACCTCTGCAATCTTTAACTGAGTATCTAAGGTGCTTTTTGGTGTCTCTAACACTTAAGGCATTCTCTTAGTGTAAATATGATTATTTTTTAGGAAACAATAAAATTGTAAAAGTGCATATACTGTCAAAACAGTAGAGCAATACTGCCAGCATGACGACCTATTTCGTAAAAGAAAGTGAATAGAATAAGGTACCTGTCCCAAATAAGGCCACGTTAAGAAGTTTTATTTTTTCCTAACATTATCCACCAAACCCAACAAAAATCACGACCTTATATATGAAGTGTTATTACTTGAATATTAACTCCAATTTATTTATTTTTTATATAAGTGGTGGTTTTTGCGTAAAACAAAGACGCTTACCATTGGCCTTATTTGGTTCACTATGTTCCTAATAAGTCCACCATTAAAAAATGTTTAAAATAAATACAATTATTTATAAAAATATTATTATTTGGGAAATAGTACACAAAATAAAACTTATACGTTTGCTGCATTCCTAAAAAAACAATAATTCCAAGTCCTGGGATGGTGATGCAAATAGGACTACATACAACTAGGACAAATAAACCGCAGAATCTCATGCTTGGTTAGGCTCCAGGCATTTTAAAAAACATCACTCAGGTAATAATATGACACATTCTTTTAAAAAAACACTGTGATGTGAGGCCAATTGAACATTTTTCGTATGATGGTCTTATCACGAATATGTTAAATTGATAAAAAAAGTCTGTAACTAAAAATCTAGTAAAGATATTATTTGGTAGCTTTTTCAATACATGAATGTCCGTCAAAAAATTACAATCGCTCCATTCACTTTATAAACACGTATATAAGCTAATTGAGTTCTAACCACAAAGTTATAACGTGACATATGAAATATGTGGTTGGTCATTTTTCGACATATGACAAGTTCCTAGGAAGCCTTGCAAAAATTTTTGATTTGCATTATGGATTTGTTTTTTAATAATATTGTAATTTTTGAAAATGGGATTCAATACTAAGCAATAAAGGGCACTTGCCTTATTAGTTACATGGCCTTATTTGGATCAGGTACCCTATATTCTATTCCAAAATTCCAAAGTCAGTAGTTATTAAACTAACTTTTTAAGTAGCTTTACCATTTGATAAAAACAGACTTTGAAGAACTTTTTTTTTTTCAGTTCTAACCATTATGTTCAAACTCGTCACCCTCATTGCTCTGATGGCAACAGTAGCTTACGCAGCTCCTGGATTCCCGTCATATCACGAACCCATTTTCCTGAAACCGATTTCTTTCCCAGAGCCAATACCGAAAATTGTCGAGGTTCCATTCATCACCAAGAAAATCGTGCCTGTTGTCACTCACAAGGTGGTTCCGGTGGTGTCCCAAAAAATCGTTCCTGTGGTGTCTACCAAAAAAATTGTTGAATTTGATTCTCATCATCATCCGCATTTTTAAATATAATTTATATTTATATAATAACCAGATCAAATTTATGTAAATAAAATATATATATTAATAAATACAGGTGATGGGTTAAAATTTTCTTTTATTTCTGAATGTCGCGATGTACTTAGTATCCACAATAAACTTATTGCAATTTAATACCTTCATGATTTTTAATTTGCTCAGATTAAATTACAGATTTCATTGAACAATTATTTTCATATAAAGAACCTACGTATCCATTACAGAACCGCATGTTCTTTTTTTAAATAGGAACCTGTGCTTATGTATAAAAACGATGATTTAGTATTGAAAACAGCTTATAGTTGCAACGAATAAAATAATCCTTTTATAATATTGTTTATCCATATTTCTTTGGCTTCTCCAATTGGACTTATCGCAGGTAAGAATTTTATCTATTCTGAAAATCGCCAATCAGTATAATTTACTACTTTTATAGACCATGGAGGTTCTGTTTTGCTAGGTGATTCTGGATTAGCTTTCGGATGAGGGCTGGCTGTAGCCTACTGCAGGACATCCAATTCCTGGTTCCGTTGTGTTACCTCATAGAGTCAATTCAGGATATTGGGAAGCTTCTAGAGTCGATTATCCTACCTCAGTATTGGGACTAGCAAGTGGACACCAATGAACACACCAATAATTTTTTGTCGGAGTTTTAAAATATAAAGATTTTGATCAAGGTATTGTTACCAACAACTTTGGTCTTATTCATCTTGTTTTTTTTTTCTGCTTTCAGGAATTTTTCGAGAACTATATTATATTCTATACCAGTATATGTCAGAGGCTTTATAAAGTTGGAATATGCTATGCTAGTAACACCCTGTATATAGCACAACGAGGTCGGTTTATTTGAGGCGACATTGGTTCAACTTATGTATGTTATTGGGCTGTTCAATACAATTTAAAATCGATCACCCCGTACACATCTTATGGAATTTTGGTGTCCGGTCAAATTTGATGAAATTTTGGTAGGTACGTTGTTTCTCTCGAGGTCCTGATCAAAAGTGTCCATAAGCACAAATGAATCCTATGAATAGTTTTTGAGATACAGGATGTTCAAAAAGTTGAATATTCCATTTTAATTATGTGCTCCACTATTTTTTTGGGATTTGGACGAAAATAATTGAGATGAAACAATATTTTAACAAAAATAAATTGTTGAATTCATAGACTGTATACCTAAACGATTTTGTATACAGGGAGTACCAAACGTTATTATTTTTTGCCCCAATTATTGTCGGAATACAACATAAAACGATTTTATGTAAGGTAATAGGAAACTTAATTATTTTTAATTTTTCAGAAAATATTATTGACAAGATTACCTTATTAAAAAATGCTTTTGACTCTATTAGAATTGGAGTCAATCATACAAAATGTCTCAAAAATTAAAATTATACATGTTAAAAATGTCTGCGTTTTCGCAGCCTTGCTATACTAAACACCATTACGAACACTTATTTAATATGATTCAACAAAGGATGAAGAATTAATATATGAAATATCACAAACTGTCAATATTTTGACTCTTGCCAGGACCGTCCAGCAGCCAATTACTGGAATAAAATAATTATTGATAGCATGGATGACTGCAATAAAGCCACAAGTTTTTATCATGGATAATTTTAAATAATATATAATTTTAATTTTTTGGACACTTTTTGGACTGTATAATTGCCTCATATTCTAATAAACATTACATCAAATAGTTATTTTCCTAACAAGGGCGCAAAGTAATACTTTCCCGCACGAAAAAGCAGTTAGACGAACGACGCGTAGCGGAGTTCGGATAAGCTTTGAGTGCGGGAAAGACACTTTGCGCAAGTGTTAGGAACAATATTTTTTCTACGAGTATCTTAAAAAAGTAGACTTTGAATTGTTAAAATATTAGAAAAATCAATCAAATCAAAATCTTCAAAAATCGTTTAAAATCTATTGGAATTCCTCAGAATGTCTTTTAAATTAAATCCCCAAAAATCTTTTAACATCTTCTGGAATTTCTAGAATACCAGCTAGAATATTTTCATGAGAGCCTCTTAGATGTCAAAAATTCTACAAATTCCTAGCAGTACAGGCTGGTCCAATTTGGATACCTTTGATAGGAAACATCACGTTAACTAAGTGCTAATTTCAACTTAAACCCTTCATTTTGAGTATTAATTTATTCAGAAACCATCAAAACATTGGAAAATCAACTATGGTAATTATGCGTAACAAAAATGAGTGCGCACGCAAATGAGTGCGCAAAGTGATTACTTTGCGCACGCAAGTAGAAAAAATATTTTCTAAGAAATACCGTTTAACTAAGCTTTTTTATGTGCAGCTAACTTTCAGGTAGACACCCTGTATTTGGCAAAGTCGAATATAGCTGAAAACTGCAACGTTTTTTTAAATAATAGCAATTTTCTATAAATAAAATAAAAATAAATAATAAATTAAAAGTTATTACCTACATAAAATCGTATTCTGAAAATTTTTAGGCCAAAAAAAATTGATATAAAAACGTGGGGTAAGTACACCCTGTACATGAAATCGTTTAAACGTAGGTACAGTTTATGTTTACTACATACAAGCATTTAACTATGAAAAAATTTTGCTTCCTCTTGTTAATTTTCGTCCAAACCCCAAAAATTAGTTCGGTGAGTATAGTCTGGCTAGCGAAACGGCGAACTGCAAAAGAATTTGCTACTTTGCCAAACTTGACGGAAATAATGATAAACAGGTTGATGACATATTTTTTTTTGCTTATATGGGCATATGTAGTATTTTGAAATAGAAAAAAATCCGGCAACATTGCGAAATGATGGATGTGGAGAGGCGTGATTATTCAGAGGTATGATTCTATTGGTTAGAGTTTGAACGACAGCACGCAGTGGCGCGGTTATTGGTGAAACTAAAGAATTTTTTAAAATAATTTCATTGGTTTATTTCCTTGGTGTTTTCGGTGCCACTGAACCGAAAGACATGGCTGTCATCAGGTGATGTCAGTTAAGGTGTCAGTGAATATTTTTAGGTCACGCTCCACTTTTCTTCCCCCTTTCGTCTCTACCAAGTTACCACTTGCCAGACTATAGGTACCTAAACAAAATCGCATATCCAACTTTTTAAATACCCTGTATTTGTACTCATGGACACTTTCAATCAGGACCTCAAGAGAAACAAAATATCAAAATTTCATCAAATTTGACCGGGCACCAAAATCCCATCAGATGTGTGCGGGGTACTTTCCTCTGTCTTTGAACCATGGCATAGACGTCTGAACAGCGTCTGAAAGTACCTATATGATTTGGAACAAGGCTAAAAATATCAGAAACGTAGACCAGAGTTGGTCAGGCAAACTCTGCTGGAGTTGATCTCAGGCAATGGTGGCAGAAAATTTTCATTTTGAACAATCTTTTGAAATATATTTATTGGATTGGCTAGAGGTAAAAACAAAAAGAAAAAAATAATAATAATAGCACTTACAGCATAGCGGTGCATGCACAATACATTAGATTTAATTGATGGGGAAGATGAAAATGATTTGAACAAAGTCCTGTCAGAGTTCGAAGAGAATCACTAGAATCAGATGTTGTATATGGAAGATATTTATTTTACAATCAGCAAAAAGATGAGACTTTGGATAGTTATTCTTGTGAGTCAGGTCTGGTAACTTTTCAGACCTTAGAGCAGGTATAAAGCACTGTCGTACGGACATAAGGAGTAGAAACGCGCCTTTCTGCTATGAAACTAAAGTGAAGCCAAGTATTTGGCACCAAATACAGGTAAAGCATTGAAATTGCCTGTACCGTCATTTTTTGATGCCAAAATTCCTGGCTTCATTTTCCAACTCCATGTTACTACTTCTTTACCTTTACCTGCTCTTAAGTTTGAGACTCTATACGAATAGAGACAAAATTGTGTTTGACATAAACAGATTAGAAGAAAAACTAACGTCGGGAAAATTAGCAACATATTGGAAACAAGATCTTTAGGATACACATCTGCTTGTGCTGCTATATTACTGCTTTGTCCTGCTTTGAACCGCAATTCAGCAGCATCTACCATTTTCGAAATATATCGATCTCCATTTCGGTTGCTAACTTCATCCTTGGCAACACACTGGAAGAAGGATCGCTAAAACATGTTCCTGCTTGTGCTGCTATGGTCCTGCCTCATCCTGCTTCAAAACAGCGATTTTTTTATGGTTGTTAACTTCACCCTTGGCAACACACTAGAAGCACGATCGCTCAAACATTTTCCTGCTTGCGTTGCTATGGTCCTGCCTGATCCTGATGAGCGGTAGTACCATGCGAAAATTACCTTCTAAATTACGCAAATTACTCATTGATATCCTCTTTAGTTCGCGTAATATTGAAATCCCAAGATAAACTAAAAATTCGCTTGTTCCGCTTCATTTGTCCAGCAGTTTAGTAAGTGTTGCCGCGGTTAGATTTCATAGGTGCTGCTCGGTTGCGGTTCAAAGCAGGAAAAAGCAGTAAAATATAGCAGCACAAGCAGATGTGTATCCTAAAGATACAGTTTCCAATGTGTTGCTAACTTCAGTTTTTCTTGTAATTCTTATCTGCTTATGTCAAAAACAATTTTGTCTCTAATCGTATAGAGTCTCAAAAGTTATCAGACCAGTTTCTTCTTGTTTTTACCTCTAGACAATAAATATATTTGAAAATATTGTTCAAAATGAAAATTTTCTGCTGCTATTGTCTGAGAAAGAAAAACTTTCTGGTAGTCATACATCAGACTTTTCATTGTCTTTGATTTGACTCAACTTGAAATCAACTTTTCTAAACTCCAAACTCTGTCTGACCAATTCTGGTCTACTTTTCTGATATTTTTAGCGTTGTTCCAAATCATATTGTTAGACGTGTGGTTCTATTGTTACGAAATTGCATCGAGAGACGGCCAGATTCTAAGAATTTAGTTGTTTACGTTCAGAACGGGTCCTCAGGAATAATTCTATTGTATTCAAGTGAAACAAGATCAAAAAATCTCGAATACGATAATTTTATGTCTGAAGTGGGATCATTATTAGCAAGACAATTATTATTATTGATGCATTAATTTGCATAATAGGCAAAAAAATTCCTGTATTAATTTTAGCTAATTAGTGGGAACAATAAGTGAATTTTTTTTGAACAAGTTTACAGACCGATTTTCTCAAAAATTCTACAGTGTATTTTTTCCCAAGATAGATTTTGGCAATGAAAATTTTGAAACATAAACAATACTGCTTATTGGTCGCAAGATGCCGTGTACCTGCATTCGACGAAGGTATCGTTTTCCAACCATGTAAAAGGATACCTCACCTGCAAGGACACGGCATTTTGCGATCAATCAGAGTCAGGCGGTATTGTTTATGTTTCAAAGTTGACAATGTCAAAATCCATCTTGGGAAAAAATAGGGTGTAGAAACTTCTATAGTGTTTCATTTGGAAACCAAATTGCTATAGTGTTCTATTTGGAATTGTATAAGTAATACAAAAACAGTGACTGAACTTGCCCCTTCCTCCAGCAGAATGGAGTGAACCCAAACTTTCGCAAAAAAATTCGCCAATGTTTTACCCTGTAATTTCAGCAGGTGGACGGAAATCTGTTAAAAACTAGAAATTAAATAGCAATTAGAGCAGCCTTGTACTCCTGAAAATGTGAACAAAATCGGCCTGCTAGATTTTGAGTTATAGTATTACAAAAAGTGACTAAAAATTGGGGTGTTCGAGTTCGATTGATGCGTACCTAGTTTATTTCGAAAATGGTGGGTGCTTTGGGTTGCGGTTTCGAGCAGGACAAAGCAGTAATATAGCAGCACAAGCAGAGGTGTACCCTAAAGTTCCTGCTTCCAATGTGCTGCTAGCTTCTCCGACATAACAAGAAACTATTCTTTAGGGAAAGCAGTGAATAGATGCCAGGCAAGCAAGCAAAAGCTCAATTAAGAGATGCTCAAAATGAAGAAAAATTGAATACTATAAAAACTAAGAAACTTACAAAGTGGAACATTGAAGCAAGTAATGAAGCTCGAGCTGAAAGCCAGAGGTTTTCTATTAGGTTGAGCTTGATTAGGAATCAAGTAACCTTTGTGCTTTTGGATCCTCTGAACTCATACGTCGTAACTATGTAAGGCTTCACCTCTTCCAGATGATTACCTAACCCAACAACAAATATTTTTATATCATCGAGTTCAAAGAGCATTTTCGAGACCCAGTCGAAAATATCATAGATATCATAATGTTCGTCTGAGGCACCCTCATTTTTCCTAATTGAGCATAACGTTGAGGTCTCAATCTGTCGAGAAATTCCAAACAAGATCGATCTTTATATTGGGTTTGATGCACATGCGAGGATATTCTTTTTGCCGCATTAAGAGAACAAAATAGTTCGCCATACAAAAAGCTACCTAAGAGATGAGGTGAAAAGCTCCTCTCAACATCTTTAATTTCTTTAATTACAAACATTTGTCTTTTATCACAATGAGTGGCATTGTGGCATTGAGGACTAACCCTGGGGAGAGTTAGGGGATTTTCACTGATCCTAGTTACTGAAATAAATCTCACTGTTCTTCAGCAGTTGTAGCGATAGTTTATAGGAGACGGAAAACTGGTGCATAATGGATTGGAGGCAGTCTGGTAAGTGCCTCTCCCTTTATTTATAAGAAAATTAAATTGAAGGGTTGCTTAGTGCAAAAATTATATATACTTTTTTTGGTCGGGACATCAGTGTTGAATCCAAAGGTTATTCTAAGGATTTTTTTCCACTGCACAGAGAAGTGAAGTTAACTATGAGCCGTCATCATGGAAGTAGTTGAATCTTTCGTGGAACTCCTCACCGAAAGGTATGAAATAGAAGCTGATAAGCTCTCAGTGATAAAACCATTCACGAATTTAGAATTAGGCACTAGCTGACGTCACACACATAACCACACTTTCGTTGGGGGGAAAAACAAAGCGTTTGAGAACTATTTACAGCGGTCAAAACTGTGACAATGATGGACTTGTCTGAACAGGTATATTACCAAATTCATTTGAGAAATATCTTGTTTGTCCCATTGATGTAGGCATGTAGGTTTGTCTCAATGAGATGAAATGTTTGTCTCCTCCTCTAAAGTGACGTTATGTGATTTTTGACGTAATAGCTAGCGCTTGCATGTATTAGGCAATCAAAACCACGTGACATTCAAGATGGCCTGGCGGCCAAATTATTGGCCAAACTTCATTTTTAGTCGTGTGCAGTCTACTCTGTTTGTTCGAAGTTTTACATTTTTATGTGCTTTAAGGTGTTTTTGTGAGGGGTAAATTTGTTAAGTGTAATACAACAAGATATTATCATTATGTAGAGCAAATATTCGCCAGAGCTTGGTGCCCAAGTCAGGATTATCCACATCCTTTACCTTACTTGGTTTTCTTATTATAAAACCATATGATGGTTTGATTGCCGCTAACCATGCTTTTCGTCTTTTTCCTTATGTTTTATTTAAATGGGAAAAATATACTGAAATTGTCACGCTTAGGACCCTGTAGAAAGACATATTTTGATTGCCCCTTTCTCGGCGCTTCCCATATCCTACAACAAACAGACACTTATCCGGCATTTTACAACACTAAGGTCCGATTTATCCATCTTCAGATAAACTTGCTGTTAACTATCTGCAAGATAAATTAACCGTTTTTTGATTCTATTGATGAGATTACAGATTTAGTTTTTATCCGTCAGATTGCATACCTGATATTTTATCAGAAGGTGAATAAACCGGCCCCAAATACAACAAAAATATCTAGTTTCCGCGCGACCTAATACATTTCTTATAAAATATCGGTTGACTAGGTACTTATTACGTAACCTAACGTGAGTAATTCAAACTTGCAAGCAAAACTCGAAGCAAAACAACCAAAACACGTATATAAAAACACATATTCATAACAAACTTGCTAGACTGCCACGCCATATTGTTTGTCCCCCCATCGAAAGTGAGGTTATGTGTGTGACGTCAGCTAGTGCCCAATTAAAGTATATCGTATTCTGGAGAAAGATCTTTGCCTATAACTCAATTCAAGTTAGATTATGACGAAATACTAGAACATCCACAAATAGAAAAGTTGCAGAAACTGACGCTTTCTGAATTCTGGATTGGTTAACTTTATAACCAATTCTTCGGATTTCCTTGATGCAACTAAAATATTTTCGCACAGATCTTGAATGCTAAATCGCATAGTGCGGATGTGGAAAGACATAACTAAGTATCAGCAATACATTAAAAAGCCTATATCTCAAAGTAGCTTGTCAGTAGATTCTGGAAATGAAGCACTATGCAGTATAAAACAGTTAAATCTGATATAATTTAATCTATTCTTCAATTATCACCTAAAACTGGTCTGACCCAGAAAATATTTCTTCCATCTGAAGGTGTTAATTTCGAACAAATTATTATCATTCCGGAGAAGAGTACTGTTAACATAAGTAAGCTGAAACATGGTCAGGCTACAGTTTGTTTCCGGTATTTTAATCGGCGTACTTTTAGTTTTTAGCGATTGCGTCTCTAGCGGAACTGAAGCGGTACTGCCACAAAATCAAACAAGTGCTCTGAGCCGAATTGGAAAACAATTTGTTTGTAGGTAATATCAAAATCTAATTATATCAATTGAGGCAATTTGACTTAGGGTTGCCTGCTATTTGGGGCGTGGGATTGGTCCGGTTTTTGAACGGCGAATGCGATGCAGGAAACGGTTTCACGGGAACTTGTTACACTAGAAGGCAATGCAACTCTATGGGCGGTTCCAGATCAGTTTCGTGTGCCAATGGAGCTGGAGTTTGCTGTGTTTGTAAGTAAACCAATAATCACGAAATTATGGCTTAGTATTATTTTTATTAGTCCAAAGCACTTGTGGCGACAGTTCAGATACAAACAACACTTACTTCGTTAGTCCAGGGTTTCCAAGAACATATACAGGAGGTTCAATTTGTATGTTTACTATAATTAAGCAAGCTGATGCATGTCAAGTAAGTATACCTAATAGCTTTAGAATGTTTATAGTTACGCTGGAAAATTATAGGTAAGATTAGACTTTTTAACTCTAAACCTTGCTCAACCCAACGCAAATGGTGTTTGCAGCTCGGATGCAATGGCAGTAACAGGCGGTGCGTCTACTGTACCAGTTATTTGTGGGCAAAACAGTGGACAGCACATGTATGTGGATTTTAATGGAAACGCGCCCATTGTGATAACTATTTACGTTAGAAGCGCATCCTTTTCCAGGTCTTGGAATATTAAGGTGGCCCAGATTAATTGCAACTGTCCCTGGAGAGGTACGAATTTATTTCTAGTTCTTAAAAAAATTTATATATTTTTATTTCTAGCCCCATCTGGTTGCTTGCAATTCTATAACACACTATCCGGTACTGTACGTAGTTTCAACTATGGTAGTTCCAGTCTTTTGAATGGTACAAGGCAACTGGCCAATATGAATTATGGAGTTTGCGTTGGAATGTTTCCAGGTGAAAATTTTTATCTATATCTTATCTAACTGTATTACATTAGAGGTCATTCGTTATATTCTGCACCACAAATCTCTCTCAATTTACACTTTTTCCATACATTCAAAAACCCCCTATAAATATTTCTGATTTTAAATATGAATGTATTGTTTAGCCATTTTGGTTTAAAAAAGTTAACAATTTGAATCCATCATCTAATCAAAATCTTGCGGTTCGAGTGAACTGCTACAAATTTTTTATCCCCACCTCTCACGTATCACCTTTAACTGCAAAATATAATGAATGAATGATCCTGGACATTTTTCAGGTTATTGCTCAATTCGATGGTCACAATCTTCTGACCTTTATGGATTTTCCGTGTCCGGTGATACCTTTACAGCAGTTGGTGATGGTACTCTTGGTACCAGTGCAGCTTCACTAACTGGGTTGAATTGTACTACCGATTTTGTGGTCATTCCATCACCAGTTTTAAACTCAAATACTACTGCGTTGAATTCTGATAGATTTTGTGGTAATGGATTTCCTACAGTGGATTGTACGTATTTATCATCAGGATCAGCGAATGAACTATTCTGATTGGATTTGAATAAATTTTTTTTTCAGCATCTTCGAAGCCTTTTGTCATGACAGTCGTAACAAATGGAAACGAGGTAAACGATACAGGAAATCGTGGATTTTCGTTAGCATTTTCACAGCAACTATGTGCTGGAACATTAATGTTAGGATAATGATTTATTCAATAAAAAAATTAAAACACTCTTGAAGTTTTTTTAAAATTAGTTTAATCGTTAAGAGAAGAAGAAAAATAATACAGAATAAGACTAATAAGAGAATACAAGTAAGATGAAGACAGAATCTCCATCTAATTATAATAAGAGAATTATAATGAGGAAAAAAGGAAAAACGTGTGATGCGTTTTAGGGGGTAATGTAATAAATCTCAAATGTAGGACTTATTCGGGATCGTGCAACTATTGTTCTGGAACTGTCTGGAGTATGCGCAGCTAAAAATAACACGTTCGGGTTTCATCGATCAAATCTAGAATTGTCTGGAGAAAAAAAAAGGTCTTGAAAACAAAAATGTCCTCAAGCGATTCAAGAACTATCAAATCAGTCCCAGGTGTCGAGTAGGAATTATTTAGGGACTGTTTTTGACTCATGCGCGATATCATATTTATAAGGTTTGTGTTCTTATTTCAGTTCAGTTTGTAGTTTATTACATTTTCATATATCTACATACCTGTTCAAATTATTTGATTCAATAATCAGCCTCATGGGCTTCGTGATGAACTGCATTGACATAACTTCCTTCATTCAATGTTTGATTTCGAAGTCGCAACTTGGAAATTTCGCTAACCAACACCTTCCTCCACTGCGAGAGAGGATGAACAGTTCTAACTGGGAAACTCCGTCTATATAGAAAACCCGATGGATCGTACTACTGCTAGGTTTTTAGGTACCACAATAATTTCTACAATTTTTCTGTGACCTATCTGAAAATCTAAAATGCGACTTCTATGCCGATTCCAATTTCTTACACAAACAGTCCATTCTCCATGGAATGTGCTGAAGTTAGATCACTAATTAATCTGCTTTTCGGCTTCACGAAAGACTGTTAGCATTGGTATCCAATCAAAATGAGCATTCTACTTGTCGAAGTACAACCTCATCTTTCCAAGATCACTGACTCAGTAACTGCAGAATCTTACAGAGCTTTTGACTCTATGTTTGTACTTTAGTTTGGAACAATCTTGTACCCACTGGATTTTTCTTGACATGTAAAAATGTCACTTTAAGCGTTGATTATCGTAAAATGGTCGGTGCAAATGGCCATCAACCAAACACATCTCTCAAAAGTGTGTCCTTGCAAAATAAACTCCATCAATCTCTCAAAAGTGGTGGGTGCATTGCATAATCCAATTTAGAGCTACAAACTTCCCGGATTCTAATATGTTGTTAAGGGTATTTGTAGAATTCATCTTCCTGGGAATCTGTAGAGCGGATGTTTAATGGATAATTTTGGACTTCTGGATCAACAGTTGCATTCCGTCAATCTTCTTGTTCCTGCTTTGTCATTTCATGAAAAGTGAGATTTCAGTTGTACTTTAGAGTCACATTTGAAATGCCACCTTTTCTCGCAGCGATAACATTTGAAGCCCTCTTTCAAGTCACCGATTGAAGGCTGAGGGTCATAAGAAGGAAAGCGAGATCTCAGCCCGATCAACTCTGGCCTGTACTCTACTACAAAAATTACCTCTTGTTCCACAGCGGCAACCATGCCCCCTTTCAAGATCCGTTGTTTGATTCTGGTATGTATATGTATATGAATGTATGTATGTATGTGTTGGAGGTGTCAGTTGCACTGCGACCAAGGTTGATCTATTATAACCCTCCTTTTGCTGCTAACTTCTGGTTTCCTGCTCAAAGCAGCCCCTCTAGTTCTAGGTGCTTTAGGAATTTTAGGATATCTAGCGGTTCCAGGGCTGGAATGTCTTAAGGGGACTTCCCAGGTTCTCCATCCTTGAGCGACTAACGGCATCGCAGTTCAGTACATGGTGAGGTGTCTCTTCTCCATCTTCACAGAATCTGCAGGTGCAACCTTCTGAAGATCCGCTTAAATGTGCTTGGTGATTTTTCCATTGGCTCCGAGTATCTGGTCCGTTGTCCGAATACTCCGGCTCCAGTACTCTCAGCTGCAGTTTTGGAACCGTCTGTGTACCATTTGATGGAGTTGGCTTTCAGGGATTCGCTTTAAGAGATTTTATGTTCCACCTGTTTTTAGAGTGAAACTTCTCAGGCAGCGGTCTGATATTTGGACGAGACGAGAATGAGAATGATTTTAAAGATGCGTCACGTTTAGGCCCATTTCGTTACACGAGAGAGAAGAAAGATATACCGTAGAGGGATGGAGAGAGACAGTCATTGATTGACACAAACCAAGGATTATAAGCAAATAAGATTAGATTCCCTATTATTGTCAAGCGCCGATACCCTTGTGACGTCACAACAGATGCGCGTCTCCCTTTTGTGTGATCCTTCTTCGTCTTTATCCTGAGGGCTGACTCATACGCTAAGTCTAAAAGTTGTTTGAGGAGGGGATAGTTTTTAAGAAGTTTCACTCCTTAACACGGGTACGATGGTTGATGGATGGATGGATGATCATCTTTTTGTACTTAGTTCAATGGAAAAGTTTTTCTTGAAACTGAATTCATCAGCAATCACGTCTTCTGATAGATCCAAGGTGTGCATAGTTTAGGAGACGAAAAGTTCTTCCAAAGTGCGTTTTCCCTTGTAAACCTATCGTCGCCAGTCTTAGACATGATCCACTGGCAACCCGCTTCACTATTATGTGGAACGGTGTGAGATCTAGGATGATTTCCAGTGCCGCGGTTGGACATGATCTCATTGCTCCTGTTATACAGAGACACGCGAGTCTTTGCACTTTTCCTTGGATTACTAACTGGATTTGGCTATACCAGGCTACCGCTCCGTAGGTGATGATAGGTCTCTCTATCATGGTATACCTCCATCGTAGGATGGATGGGTTACAGCCCAACGTTTCACCCGCAATGTTTTTGCAAACCATGAGTGCCGAGATTTTTTTGTTTTTTGTGTTCTCTACATGTCCGTTCCAGAGAAGTTTAGAATCCAGGGTTATTCTTAGCAATTTAATTTCTTGTTTCCAGTTAAGTCTGCTCTCATTGAGGCGAATGTTTTTCAAGTTTGGGAGTTTCGTTCTTTTTGTAACTGTTACCAGTCTGGTTTTCGCTGAGTTTAGATTCAGTTCTACTGTTTCATACCATTCCTTCGTATTTCATATTAGGGGATTATCAACCACTTGACTCCACATCAAAGATGACAGTACTCCTCCTTGTGGACATCCTCTAGTTGTGGTGACTTGTATGGTTTGTTTACCCACGTCAGTTCCTGCAGTTCTGGTGGCTAGCGTTTCGCAGATCCAGGTCGATGTGGTTTTGTCTACTCCTATGTTGACGAGCGCATTCTTCATGGACTCATGAGAGTTGTCATAAAATGCCCTCTCTATGTTTAAGGCGCAGATGGCTACTTCTTTATTCTGTAATGTGTTTTGGATGCTGTCAGTGAGTTCAACTAAAACCCTGGACCTTCGTGGTTCTGTGCCTTGCCACGTAGATTAAAATTATGCATTTGCCTTCCGTGAATAGTAGCACTGAGAACAAGCTTATCAGCCAAATACTTGGGTCAGCCCTCATGAACAATCTTATAAACAAGTGTAGATAAATGAATCAAGTATATTTCATGAAGTTTCAGCCATCCGGAAGTCTCAAACAGCGGCGTGACGTGATCATACCTCCTTGCACCGTAACACACTTCAAACAAGAGTTTTGAAGCCTTTGTAAACTATTCCTTTCCCTTTGAAGAGCAGCTGGCCAGTATAGAACATCAGAAAACGAAAGATATGACAATATTAAAGAGTCATACAACTTTAATTTAACCCTCGCAATAAGGATGATATCTTCATGCATATCATTATGACACTTTGAGTCTGATGTAATCATTGAACTAAATAAACACTCTGGAACGGGCGCACTGCTTTATGCTAATGTGCTGAATTTTGATATATGCAACCCAGCAATACAGAGGGATTGTTGTCTCGCTCGCACTTATTGCGATTAACGTAAAAGAAAGAAGATCTTCTTCATCTTCCTAACCCCAATGATCCAGACACTTGAAACAGCTGTTCTCAATAGCCGCCATAGTGCAGACAAAGATGCAAATCCCTCTTGTTTGCTGTCCCTCCTGGCACAAAACCTTGAGTTAGAAACATGCTGCCACCGTTCCAGTGTGTTTGTTTAGTCCATTGGATGTAATAAGCGCCTTGTTGGACAAGTTGGAATATATGCCTCAAATCTAAGCTGACTATCCAAAAAAATGCCCAAATTCCTTTCACAACTAGAGGACTCCAACGCCGCTCCACCGACCCTAATCACAAAGTTATCCAATTCGACATTCTCAAAAATCATCAACCTAACTTTGATCCATTCAGCACAAGTTTGTGAGAACTAAGACAGTTCAGAAATAACTGTCACATCAGCAGTATTATCCATAGCTGCCTGCAGGACGTCCGAATGCTGAAAAAAAAAGATAAAACCTACGTGTCGCCCGTATATTGGCGTGAACGGCAAACTCTCAAATGCTCCTGTCATGTCACAGGTATACAAAGAGAACAATTAGTGGTCTCAGCACCAATGCGCAAACTCTGGCAGACCCAGCCAAACCAAAATATTATAACTTAGTGCAAAGAATTATATGATCCAGGGTATGAAATGCCTTACTAAAGTCCAAAAGAACAAGAGTCATCATATACAGTCAAGCGCATTAAAAATGGGACACAGTTGGGTATCCTTGTTTCAATGCTCATGATTGTACATGCAAGAGAGCTGAGATGAGCTATGGAAATAGAACCAATATATAAGTTGAGCTGCTGTCACTCAGATCCTCTGTAGGCATAGGAATGATATCAGCTTGTTTCCATATTGTTGGAAATATGTTGAGATTTTAGCGATTGGTTTATTATAATTGTTAAAAACGGTGTAAGGAAGGAGGTAATCAAAGACAGGGGCGTCGCGTCGGTGGGGTATTGGGGGTAATGACCCCCCCCAGGATCCAATATTCAAGGGAAAAATTACGATGCCCAAAAGAAAATACATAATAATATTGAAGAAAATACATATTTTTTTTTTGTTTAATTTTCTTCACAAAGGAAATAA